TAAAGACGAGCAAGTGCATGTTCATAATGCGTTTCGTTGCCCATTATTATCGGTCCTTTTATTAAATATTTTTTTTTGGTTATTTTTTGGTGTCATGCTCGATTTATTAATCATGGGATCCAGCTAAAGCAAGATGAATGATGAGATCTATGAGTAGTTTCTGGCAAAAATTTGGAGAAAAACAAACAAAAAGAAAAGATCTCGTGGTCATTTCCTTTCCTTCTTTCGGCTTATAATACAATTTTCTTCAATTTAATAATTGCAAAATAGCTAGTGTTGTTCGTTTCCAATAATTTTGCATGATTGTGGTCTCAAATCCAATAAGAAAAGACCAAAAAAAGAAAGGACAAACGGATGTTTCGCTGCAAAACTGAACCTCGATTGACAACTCGACATCGCTTAGCTAGGCATGCATGCACCGATGGTTCCTGTCAAGCGTTGTACGAACAATAGAGTGTGATCAAGTTCGGGAGAATAACTACAAATTGCAAATATATATAAGTAAAAGAGAGTAACAAAACAAATAGAAAAAGTCCTTAAGTTTCACATTTATAGTTGATATTCATGTTAGAAAGTCAAGCTCAAAATTCTTAAGATCGTACTAAAATTTTAAACTTTTGGATTGGATATTTTAAATACGAATTTAAGAGAAGTAGGTTCTGAGTTCAAATCTTTTCAAACTCTTATGAGCCTCCTGTTACGAAAATTCAAATCGGCATTAGCATAAATATTACAAACAATACAATATTGTAAAGAAACGAAATTGCAATAACAAAGTTGGAATCGATACAAATGAATACCGAGGCCTGTGTTTGACACAGCTTTCCTTAAAAACATTCGCTCCCTCCAAGACGCGACCGAGGGTTTCGTGAACGTCCTGTCTCCCAGGATACAACGGTTGACAACGAAGAAGAGAGCACGGCACTTCCAAGCTTCCGGCGAACTTGAACAAACTCGAAATGAACACTACCGAAAAACAGTGCAAATGCAGAGAGCGTGTAAAAACAGAGGAAGAATGATTTCGATAAAAATAGAACGCAGGGGAGAGGGAGAGCATTTCGTGAATAATAACGGCCGATTAAATCTGTCGTTACAAAATCAATACGAATAACGGACAATTAAATCTGCCGTTATAAAATCAATTTGAGTTGAAAAAATAAATCAGAAGGCAAAATTGGGCTCGACGCGAGGCCCACTTTTCGGTCCTGCAATCGTGTACGCGGGATGTGCGCTCGCGCCCAAGTTTCAACTTGTCGAGCGTCGGATTTGCACTCCCTGCGCGCCAGCGCGAGGCGAGAGTTTGTGCTATGATAATTACCACTTCAAATAAGTGTAACCGTATATAAAGCACTCCATAGCCTTCTTTCTTTTCCGATGTGGGAATAGTGTTTTTCCTCTTCCCACTTCCAACTCAAGGGTGTTCTTTGAGCATCAATTTCTCATTCATTCACCCATCAATTTATCCCATATTTCCAACACCTCCTTTATATGCATTTTAACACATAGCTTAGATCAAAGTCCAACTTATGCACGAGGGTGAGTGTTGGAATGTTCATATATTAAACAACGCATTTATCTACACTTTGCTTGTTTCACAGAAATAAATTATTTGAAAAATATATTCCTTAAAATAAATTGCTTGTATCGCTTGAAATATCAACAAGAAATGTATTCGTTGTCAACAACAATTGATGTCTACATATTTTTGCGAACGATGGAAATATTTATTGTTCGTTCATTTTTGCAAACGATATAAGTTATTATTTTAGGAAAATGTTTTTTACATCATTCATTTCCCGCAAGACAACGGAGTTTTAGTGACTTAAATTTTTAGATTGGATATTCTAAGATTTATCATAGTCTGACATAATTTGCATAAGTTGTTTCTTAGTCTTTAAATGTCATACTAATGAATCACTAGGGTTTTCCAATGAATGGCATTAACCTATACATTTTTCTTCTTGGGCAAGCGCCAAACATCTATGTTATGTACATATGTTATTCTCAACATATAGAGTCAGCAGCTTCTTTTTCTAGTTTTATTTTGTTGTAGCATCTCTTGTAATCCAAACAAAATAGAAATTCAATGTGCATGCATGTGAGAATAATAGATGTCGAATTAAGTTAATAAAATCCCCCCATTTAGACGAATAATGATACTTAACAAGCTTAAGTTCTTAAGCGATGTCTATTTCATGCATGCTGGATGCATGATGGGCAATCGAATATCGCAGCAAGTCGTGTTGCACGCGAACCATCACAGAGCGACACATGTGGCTCCCAAGATTATATTAAATGAAGAATGTTGTTATTTGAATACGGGATCTGTTGTATCCAAACCAATCTTAAATCACTCAACCAACTCTTTGAAGGTTTAATTTTTGTATTTAAGGAGGCCTTACCATAAAGACGTCTATTTTGTACTTAATACGAAATCTTCTCAATGTATATAAATATGCACGGTTTAAGTCATTCATAGTCAATAGTTCTTTTAAATATTGAAAATCGTTTTTAGATTCGGGTTCCGTTTGTTTCTCAAAAAATTGGTAATTTTAAAAATATATTTGTAAATTAAGAGATTTTTATTTCATGGTTTAGAATCTATGCTTGGCATTTTTTTTTTATAATGAAAACACTTTTCTCTAAACCATTTTCCTAAATCAATAAACTATTAAAATTGGATAATTTATTATAAAACTATTGATTTTTTGCGAAAAAAGGGATTACCGTAAGCATTTCGAGAGGATTTTAAGCTCAATCAAATAAGATATTTTACACATTTATGATGTTGTTAGAGATTTTGTTCATCGTATTATCCACAGTGTAAAATGAGTACACCGTTAAAATGTGATTTGTCACCTTAACTCAATCTCAAATCTGACAAAAATCACCAATCATATGGTTGTCGAGTGGTCTAAAACTTGATTAGCAAGCCGAAGGTCACGAGCCCGACTATCCAGCCTATCCCCGATTTCAAAAAAAGTTCAATTTAGTCTACAAAGAGCGGCCACAGGCTTAAGTGCACGCCGGTCTAGGGTTTCCTCATTCACACTTGGTTGGGCTAGGGTGATGGGTACGCGCAGTGGGCAAATGGTGCTTCGTTGGTGTCTACAGTCGAAAATTCTAGTATTGAGTGAGGTAGGTTCCAAAGTCGCCAAAACACAAATGAAAAAAAAAAAAAACACAAGAAATGGAAAAGCAAGAAGACTTGCTTTAAACGAGGTCAAAGCTGTATCCAATGTCTCCCACCCGTAATCTAAACCCCCATTTCCGCACTGGCCGACAGCACCTTTCTTTTCTTCACTTCACATGCATAATGCATTAACTCACTCTCTCTCTCTCATGCACTCTTGTCATGGAAATTCAGGGACAAGGTCACATTTGACTCCAATATGCTTTTTCAATGGATAACGGTTGTGGGTATTAACCTTTTTGTTCATATCTTATCACAACTCATCAGTCCCGTATAAAATAAAGTTTTGAAATTATTAAGCCTAATACAAGTGAGTTTTGAAACAAATTTCCTTTACATGAAATGATGATTCAAATTTGTAGAGATAACTTGAAAGTCTGGTATAAAATAGAGAGTTTTCATTCGGTGATTACAAGATCATCGGGAACAGTAAGTATTTATATGTTTATATATTTTTTCGAGTATAATTAGAATTCAAGGTTTTGATTTTCCAACATAAATTCTCAAACTGGAACACGCTAGATATTTCTCATGATGGGTTTATTGAGAAAGTTCAAATGCACGAATTTGTTTGTAACGACTCCGAAAAGCGAATTTCTTTTAACTATAGTACGATAAAATTTAACGATTAATATTCCATATGCAAAAGGGATTTGATTATATTTGTAATTCAAATTGAATATATACCATTGGGCCTTTTTGAGCAGTGTCTCATCAAAACCACAAAAAAAAAAAAGAATTACTGTTGTAATGTCAAAAGGTTAACAAAAATTTGACATGGCCATTTAATTCAAAATAATCTCTGACATGACTTGAACTGACTTGAAGTATCAGTGTACACATACTTTCAGTTTAGATATTCACGACGGGTTAATTTCAAAAAAAGCATCAATTTTAGGTCAAGGGATAATTTTGGCCCGAATTTTTTTTTGTTCCATAAAAAAACATCAACTTTAGGTCGAAGAACAATTATGGCCCGAACTTTTTTTTGTCCCGTAAAAAAGCACCAACTTTAGGTCGAGGGATAATTTTGGCCCGAACTTTTTTTTGTCTCGTAAAAAAGCATCAACTTTCACTTAAATCCCAAATCTGGCTCTTATTGACTTAAAACCATTGATTTTCCAACTTGAATATTCCACCTTAGCAATAAATCCACGTGACTTGCTGACTGGATTTAAAGCATTATTCATTGTCTTATTCTCTGAACTACAGCTTGAAGAATAACGGTGAAACTGTTCGTCTCCTTCACTTCACCGGCAAGTAAAAAATATCTCTAGATTGAATCTTTCTGGCCAAACTTCGTCGTTTTGTCGTAATATGAAGCTGTAGACCACCGTCCGTCGACAGACGCCATGGAAGAGATTCGCCAGGCTCACCACTATAACTTTTTTTCTCAAACAAGGGTAACTTCAGATAGAAAGTCAATGGGGAGCAAAATTTGGGATTTAAATAAAAGTTGGTACTTTTTTGCGAGACAAAAAAAAGTTCGGGCCAGAATTATCCCTCGACCTAAAGTTGGTGTTTTTTTATGGAACAAAAAAAAGTTCGGGCCAGAATTGTCTCTCGACCTAAAGTTGGTGCTTTTTTTTTTAATTAACCCTATTCACGATAAGATGTTTCCCATCTGATGAAAGTCAAACCCTAATTTCGAAAAAAATGTAGAATGAAATGTTAAGAAACAGAAATCATCTCAAAATCATGTAGGTTTCGTTCACACAATCTATCCTTGATGAACGCTAATAATGAAAAATAAATTTGAATAAATTACTGACTGAGGAATTTAAATACGATCTAAACAAACAATATATTCCGAAATAATTGTATTTTATTGTAATGATGACATAATATATCCCTGTCCATACATGAAGCAAATTCTGAAGTGAAAGGGACACTTCGAGATCATTGAAGAGACTGAGAGCGTGCGCCAAAAAGACATGCAGACGTAAGCGCAGACCCCTCCCGTTTCTTCGACGCAAAGCCCTCAACTTTCACTTCACATTTCTTCACTTTGATTTAATCAAAAGGTGATCCAAATTCTAGAGAGAGAGAGAGAGAGAGAGAGAGAGAGAGAGTATTAAATAGGACTGCCATTGACGATGCCCTCAAAGAGCCTCCTGTTCATGAAGGGCAAGTCCAGCATCTTGCCTTGCACCGCCGGCAGCGGCAGTGGCGGCGGCGGCAGCGACGATGATCTGCTCTTCTTCGGTAGAGGATTGAGATTGCTGTCATCCGTGTGGTCGAACGGCGGGTCGATGGCCCACGAGTCATTCGAGTCGTCGTCGCAGCTGAACGATGCGTCGATCACGCCGCTCGGGCTTGGATGATCGCAGTGACGCTTGCGCTTCAGAGAGTTGTTGATGGACGAGTTCATGGCGTTGCTTTCAGTCTCAGATATTCCCAGAATGAATCTGCAACAGTCTTCTATTTGTTCCTGGTAACGAAGCATAATAAGCAAAATAAAGAGCATGGTATAGACAAAGTCAAGGATAGATGTTGTCAAGACAGACATTAATATTAGGGTTCTAAAGTCCATTAATGATTTTTATACTTTAGTCCTAGATTCGCCAGATTTTGATTAGGTTCACCTAAACGTTCGTTTGTTTCGCGAAAAAATAAATAATTTCAAAAATATTTTTTTAAAAATATCTCCCTTACCACTTCTAGAAATAAATAAACAAAAAATATTTTTATTATACACAAATATTTAAACATAAATTATTATTGATAATCAAAACATTTTTCGCTAACTAAGGAATTTTCCTCGTACAAACATCAAACATCAGTCATCGCTTAAAACACAAAGACCCGATTACGTCAAGAGTCAAATGATACATAGGTATGCGAGCACATATTAATGTACTGATACATACCAATCATTCGCGCGGCTCTTGTTAAACAATCAAGTAAAGAAAAATGCGCACATGTGCATGTAAAATGCTACCGAATTTCTTCACATCTTCATAACAGTTTCCTGACATTGTACTCAGGACCGGTTTGTGTAACGAAAAATGAATAATTTAAAAAGTATTTTTCTAAAAATGATAATTTACATAACTCGAACTAATTAGCTAATGAAAATTATTTTCATTATCGATATTAATTTACATCTAAATTTATGAACATGGCATTATTATCTGTTTATTTATTTTTATAAACAATACGAGCGATCGTATGTAGAAAAACTTTTTGGTCGATGCATAAAATGAAAAATCAATTTATCTTCAAAAAAAGAAGAGATTTTAGGGTAAAGTAGTGGACTACAAATCAACCCCAGAAGAAAACAAAGATTGTATACACTGTGGAAACATGTGTCCTTTCTTTCTCTGTGCGTATTGGACGGTCAAAGGGCAAATGATAAAATCCCCCACTAAGAAAAAAAGTGGCAAAAATAACCGAAGAAGATGGAGAGAACGAAGAAAAGAAGGAAAGAAAGAAGGAAAGAGAGAGAGAAGGTAGACCTGGCTCATGTGGAGGGCGCTCAAAAGCTGGGCCTTGTGCTCCGGCGAACGAAACGGCTCCGCCTCCTCGACGACGCGTGCCATCGCCGCCGCGGCCAGGACCGACGGGAGATAGCCCAGCGATCTCGAATCTGCTCCCCCGAAGTCCAAGAAGACGAACATGGTCAGCCCCGCTTCGTGATGGGGAAGGAGGGATGGGGAAGGGGAAGGAACAGATGAGAGCCGTGTGTGTTTTGCTCCCGTCCGCACTTACCGGAGACGGCGGCGACGAGGAGCCGTTCGCAGCGGCGGAGGAACTCCCGGTGCGCGCCCCGTCCGGCGCCGAGCCTCCGGGCGATGTGGTGGACGAACGACAGCGGGGTCACCGGGTGCATCTCCCACCCGAGCGTGGACAGCACCAGGAGCTCCATCCGCTGCACCGTCTTCGCCTCGAACACGTACCTCGCGTCCCCGACCTGACAGCCAGCACGCACGCACGCGTTTGTCACATCAACCGTCGCGGTTCTCAAGATGAACGAAAATGTCTTATGTCGAAGGACGTGTGAATATCGGTCGAAACAGGATAAAGATTTGACCTCAGAAAACGTCTTTTTGTGATTCGTTTCAGTGAGTGCAATGGAGTGTTCTTAGTTTCCTTTTTCTTTGGGGTGTCTTACTTGGAGATCTAGGAGGAGAGGGACGTGGGTCTCCTCCACTTTGGCGGACAGGGAGAGGCACGCGACGGCCACGAGCTGCGTCATCCACGGCTTGTTGTCCCGCTGCAGGCGGGAGCCGGAGAGGAACCTGTCGAGGTAGTCCACGGCCAGCACCGCCGTCAGCGCCGAGAACCCGTAGACGCCCCACACCCGCAGCATCCACTCCACGGCCTCGTGCCGCGCCGCCGCGAGGGCGCCTCCGTCTTCGCCGACGTCCGGCCTCGCCCCGCGCTCCTTGGACAAGAGCGAGAGCAGCTCGGCCTCCTCCTCCTCCTCGTCTTCTTCCCACGACGGGTCTTGTTGTCGATCCACTGAGCTTTCAGCGGCGGTCGTTTGAATTCCATCAACTTCGTCGTCGTCTTCTTCGTCGAATCTGTCCTCTTCACAGTAGAGAGCATCATCGAACAAGAAGGAAGGATGGTCTTCTTGCTCTTGCGGTGACGATGGGTCGTGACCTTGTCGCTGTGCTATTGCCATCTTCTTCTTTGGGGGGAGAAGAAGTGGTCTTTTGGAGTCCTACTCAGCTCATCGTGCACAAAGAAAAAGCCTTTAAGCCAAGCCAAGCCAAGCCAATCTCTCTCTCTCTCTCTCTCTCTCTCTCTCTCTCTCTGTGGTGTTGCAGCGGAGGCGAAAAGGAGGAGATGGGGGGTTGATTTTTAAGAGGGGCGAGGGGGGAGTGGGTTTTGCCTTGCTCTTTTTCTCCACGCTTGTCCTTTTCTTTCTCTGCAATTATTATAAAAAATTTTGGGTTTCTTTTTTTTTTTTTGGTTTGCAGAAGAAAGAAATGTTTTTGGGTTTTTTGGAAAATCGCGTGTGCTTTCGGTGTGTTGGTGTTGAACTGTTTGTGTTGGGAGGGCAAAAGAGTGGGAAAAGGAGGCACACACACCAAGCCGGGACCCATGAAAATAGCCTCTTGCAGAGAAGCAAAGATAATGGGCCACCGTGTGCAAGATCTCATATTTACTTGTGAGATAGAAGAGAGAGAGAGAGAGAGAGAGAGAGAGAGAGAATTAGGGTTTTGTCCTTGTCCCAAGAAATAAAATTCTTAAAGAAGCACAACCACTGTGGCACTTCCTTTTGGTCAATCCTCTTATTGTTCTTCTTCTTGTTCTTGGTCTCTGGGGTTCTGATAAGCTGTCTTCACAGAGAGTTGTCAATTTTATCAGGTTGAAAGAAGAAGAAGAAATGCATTTGATTATTGGGGGGAAGTTGGCTCCACTTTGCTTGAATTTTCCCACTGGCCAATTGGTCATAAGCTGGACCTAAATGGCAGCAGTTACTGCCTCTCTAGACAAGAGCCCTTCTAACCACTTTGAGTTAGGTGTGGGAAATGGACACCAAATTGACAGAGGGAAGTAAACGGAGGGAAAACTCGAAAGTGATCCACACGTGCTTGACTGACCAGAAATGACTGGGTCATCATCTCATCCATAAGTCAGTCTTGATGATGATATTGAATTTTAGAACCATCCTCTCATGCTTCCGAGGTTCCGTTGTCTGGCTTAGCATCGATAATGCACTTCAATTTCGATCGATAAACATAATTTATGCTTCAGTCGCTCGAGAGATTCGCATCCCACCCCTAACAGAAAAGAGGGAAGATGGACATTGCGTCAGCCATAATCCAAGAATGACCGACCAGGTGAATATAGTTTCCGGCGTTTCGAATGGAAGTCATAAAGCCCATTGTAATGGTAAATGAAAGCGAAAGAAAAATTGAAATAAAATGCCTTACTCATCAACTCATGATTTCTTAAGTTGTATACAAGTCTTTTCCATTTCCCTAGACATTTCCAAAGAATAGACTAGAAGTAGGAATAAATGAGCTTGTTGGTCATGAAGATCGCCTGAGAAACCAGTTCAACATGCAGTAAAGGGCCGAATCCACTGATGATAGCGCGACGATGAGCAATGCCACAAGAATCAGCGTGAGAGTTGCTGTTCTCAGCTGCAGCATATCCATGGAAAGACTCAGCTCTTAGCCAGCTCAAGAGTAGTCAAATTAAAGCAAGAAAACATGAATTGCATGATCTGTAACTGTAAAAGTTCAGTTCAACTGTGATGCTACAATCACGAGGATGCAATCTTGTTTAGATATGGTGTTGAAGTGTTCCCCATGAAAATCAGCTTTTATTTAGCAATGTAGCTTATTATGCTAAACAACTATTCTGAATCTACCTAGGCCACAAGAATGACCATATTTTGGAATTACCGTGCTCTGAAAGCTCGGCCATTCTATGTACTTCAGCTGGCTAGGTTGCTCGCACAAAAATGTGAATAATGACTTTAAAGACCTACAATGAAAATCATAAAATTTGTGAATGAAAAGATCAAGCATTACGTGCCATGCAAACATCTAAGATGTGATACAATCGTAAAACATCATCGACTTGGAACATCATTGTCCCGGGGAATGGCAACAGAAGAATCTGAAGGGGAATATATTTCCGAGAATAAGTTAGTACCACACTACTTCTTTGATCAGACTAGACCAAAAGGTTTCAGGATTTAGGTCATCATCATAGCTTAACGCATGGTTATTTCTTGCTGCAGACACCACATGATTGTTCCTGAAATGCCCGGTATCCAAATAACCAGCATTTGTTCTTGAAATCTGCAAAGCGGTCCAATTGTTGCAAAACTTGGAATTACAACTTCATTGATAGGAAATTAAAGAGAGAGAATGGTGGAAGCATAATTACTTTACCACAGGCAAGCCCAATGGCTTTGCATTCATTACTTCTCTTTTGCTTATAGCTCTTACTCCAAAGAGGAAATTTATTACAGATGGGATGAACCACACCTACAAATGCACAGGTGAGTATTTAGGCCAGAGAGGAGAATGAACACCTACAAATGCACAGGTGAGTATTTAAGCCAGAGAGGAGAATGAAAGGTTATGGACATGTACACCAGAGAGAGATAGAAAAAAGGACCTAGATGGATTCCACTTAACCCACTGATTGTCACCATCTTCGGTTTTTGTTACCTGAGAATCCTACAATTGCAACGCGGTCAAACGCCGTGCCTTCACCGGATGTTTGGAAAAAAGGAGAAATACAAACTTACAAAGTTTTAACATCTAACATAACAAAACCTCAAAGTCAAGAAATAAGAACAACACAAAGATGGTGGAATAGTTACTCCTCCATCGGCTCAGAATCTAAACAACTACTAGAAAAAGATAATCTAAACAACTACTAGAAAAATTGAACATCTTTAACTTCCTTTGTGAATAGTACCACCATGTTTTAAAGAGCATAACACTTCATATTGTAAAAACCTCTAGAAATAAAGCAAACTGAAAAAGAGGAACTTGTATGAGTTTTAAGTAGAGATAGATAGAGGGTAGAAAAGAGGCAAACAAATAACTTAAATCAACCGATGAAATAGTATAACTTCGCAGAGGAAAGATACAATAGGACATCAGGCCAAGAAATCATGCTTATCGCTAAAAATTCCTGTCCATGTCATCCACTTCTAAAAGGGCTAACAGAATACGAATGATGTGATATGATTGCTCCAATATTGGTGCACAAATTGGACAGCTTGGACGTTTCTAAGCATTTCCCAAGAAGTTAAATGGTTGACTAAAATGAAATTAATCAGAGGCCAGGAACTCTTAACATCTTTCATCATCATGATTGAAATATCTTTACTTCCAAGACACAACCACTTTTTTGCATAAAGCATTGAGAACTGACATCTTTTGGGAAGCTTGTACTTATCTGCATATATTTCAACTATTTCGCTTCCTCCCCCAAGCTCATAGATGCAGGACAGAAGCATACTTAAACATTCTATTGCCTTCTATTGGTGCCAACACAGTACTTCCTCAAATTTGCACTTGATTGGTAAAACTAGAGCAGCTGCTCCCAATATGAGAGTACCTAGAAATCATTGTCACCCAAAAGAAATGGCAAGGCATGTCCAATGTATTGCCATCTCATATGTGCCCATATGGCATACCAAGAGACAAACAATACCATTTAATGACATTACATCACTCTGAATCATAACATGAAACATCTTTTATGTGTCCACTGAATTTCCTACTAGTGTACATAGACATTAGACACCATATTTACATATCCAATCGTGCATTGAATATTAGTACGTATGACTTGATTTTACATTTTTCACATAGGCCCAATCCACTCTCAATCTAGCGAAACATCTAAGAGACTGAATTTTCTACCCTAGTTTCTTCAATTCAGACCCAGTCACTCTTCCTGTGACGAGACAAGCAAAAGATGACCAAACCAACAGAACATCTTCCTTTGCAATAGACATCCAACCCTGCGCATAATGAGGTAGTAATGTAACCAAACAATACTATAGCCTTATTGAGATTGACATGAGTTCAGCAAATCTAGTGATTAACACTCGCCCTTCTTATTCCAAAAGTAAATACAATTGTCAGCAGTTGATTAAATTTTGCTGCTAGCAATAAACTCATATATCATGTCGTCTACCGGAACCGATGGGTGAGGATGACTGAAGATAAAAGGGGGACAAGAGAAGAAAATTCGCAAGACCAGGGAAAATAAAAGAAATGAAAAGGCATCGATTGCCCAAAAGTAAGCCTCAAAAGAATATTGATTCACTTTCCAAAAGCAATTCAACCTCTGCATGCTTGATTACAAAGTTATTAACAGCGTGATCAAAATGCCATGATTCTAAATACACAAAGTATGGATTTTCTTCTGTTTTGAGGTGATTGTTCCATTATAGTAGTTTCAAAACGACATAGTAACAGAATGCCGCTCTACATGGTTCTCAACTGCTATTTATTCATATCACAGAGTGGCTTCTGTAATTAATTTCTCCCGAGTTAACCATTTGACACACCCGAACATAGGAGCAGTACATCAAAATTACTTCTAAGACAATAGATTTAAATAGAGAACTCAGCGTACTTTCCTCCTGCTACAAAGTTCAGGTTCCATCTGTTGTTAGCAGATGACATGCGAACCCCATTTCTGCTAAAACTCCGTAGATCACGTAATGTCGAAAAATACAAGTCTGATGAAGTAATACACTTCAGAGAACTTTTACCTTCTGCGTCACCCACTTCTCATCCAAAACCAAACATTTTCATGGAAAGTGAGAAGAAATATCCAACTTCAATTCCCACAATACACAACCAATTCAATAACCAGATGGTGGCAGTGATGCTCCCCCGAAGTACAGGCGAAGAAAATACGTCAACCACTTGGTGTGCGCAAAAAGAAAATCTTCAAGAACTCATCGGAACAGACGGGACAAACAACCACACCCCAAGCAAAGTAAGTACGCCAGTGCGAATTCGTACAGAAACGCGAGAGAAGAAGAAGCGAGCTCATAAACTTAGCCTCTGGAAAGATTCAAACGACTAGCAAGAGATGTGAAGCAGATAACAAAGAAGCGAAAGGAGAGAAATGGGCATCTGAGGAAATACCTCCTTTCTGAAGAGGGGAAGGGTTTGCGGAGGGAGGAGGCTACGATGTGTCAATGGGTGGCCGATGTTCACTGCAAAAGAGAGAACTTTGGGGGCTCGACAGGATGGAGAAGGCCAAAGAACAAACGTAGTGGCGAACCGGTCGGTCGGGCTTGAACCCAGGTGGGTCGAAAGATGATTGAGGCGCTTGGGCCATGTGGTCTGTCGAGGAAGCATAAGGTCTCGAATTTCATCCTACATCTTTCAAAATTAAAAAGTTCGACAACCCAGTAGAAGGTTTGCCGAAAGTATATGGATCGTATTTTATACGGATCATATTCTTCTCCACTCTTGATCCGAGGAAATTTTCTCCAATCATGTCTTTGATTGGCGGGTTACAAATGTAGACATTACCCACTTTTGATTTAAGTTAAGTTTACGTACCGCTGGCATTCATAACTTGTGACGCACCAATCAGAAGCATGGTTAAGGAAATTTCGTCTAATTAGGGATAGAGAAAAAAAATTAGCCATATTTCTATAGCCTCCATATTTGCTTAAGGTGCTCATTGCTAAAGTGAATATTAAAGTCATTAGATCTAAGGAGAAATGCTGCGTGCACTCGAAAAGTGTACTAGATTGAGTTCACTAAATATGGTGGGAAGTGATTATTGGTCAATGAAACGAATCCAAAACCCATTTTTAAGTAACTCATTTTGTATAACAAATTGAAAACTTAGTGCCCTACCAGAACTTTCTATGTGGTTGTATTCATATACATCAAAAACATGTGACAAAAATTTCCAATTTAAACTAAAATAGTATGATTGCAAATGATGTGTGATCTTATTCTTGGGTACTAGTCTGATACTTCTGAAAGTAAGGCAGAGTTTCATTGGCTCTTTCTATAGGTAGATGATCCATATGACTTAATTATTGCCCTGAAGACTCTAATGAACTGCATTTGAGATGATTCGAAATGAAAATTGTAAGTTTTGCAGGCCTCTATTGTCAAATCTCGCACCTTGACATGATCAGTAAACTTCTGAATACAGCATTTGTCAGATTGAGTATACATCTAGACCTAACGCAAGTATCATCCAGGAATTTTGTTGGCTTTATTGTGTTTAAGATGAGCAAAACCTCAAATGTGACATGTTGGCTTCTCAAAGAACATGCATCATAGACACTAATTCATCCTTAACGGTGAGAGTCCAGTGTCCGAAAGCATCACTAGCCACCGGCTTATGCTGATTCGAGTAAGAAGGGGCAAGTGGCACTCATTCCCTCTTTTCGGTACTTTGCAAAATGGTCAAAATATGTCAACCTTTCGATCTGTTGCTGCAAAATGAATGCTTGTTGGCCCAGATATCCTTAATTTCGTCCCGATAAGAAGTATACCATATGACATTACAAAGTTATCGCGTTACCCTTTTCACGTGAATCCCCCGACATAAAATGGATGAATTCAAGCTAACAGAGCAAAATACCTGAAATTGTACATTTCTTTTGGATTTACAGAAACACAATGACCCAGACAGAAACAGGAACTAATGTCACAATATCAAACAGAAATGAATATCAACCGCTTGAGTTGTAAACAGTGAATCTGCAGCTTAAGTTCATCAATCTATGTACATAGCCGCACAGAGGTTTCACTACCAGCATGACCAAACCATTGGTCAGTCGCTCTCGTAGTCCTCCTCATCACCAAACGTGAACACAGAAGCATCAGCCGCCATAGCCTTGAACTCACTCTCTGAAGTGGAGAACTCGGGGCTGGGGATGACATCACTTTTTGGCGGGGTGGGACCCGAGTTTCCGAGAGAGACCTGCTCGGTTGCACGTGTCACATTAGCTACTTGATCTGCATTACTTTTATTCTCTGAAGCGGGGGTAGTAGATGTGACAGTTTCGCCAGTTGAAGATGCCGGTTGACTTCGCTTGCTCTTAGAAGAACCGGCTTCCTCTGCTTCGCTGTCTGAAAACACGTCATCTTTATCATTGCTTCCTGGGTCTTTGCTTTCACGGGGATCAGAAGCAGCTACAGCGCCAACAACTGATGCAGGAGCAGTGTCCGAGGCGGCGCTGGAAGTCTTGGTCCCACTTTGAGCGGAGGGTTGGGTTGGAGGCGCACCATCATAATCCACCAGCACAATCTCAACCTGGAACCCGGGAGAAGGTAATTTCCTCTGCAAAGTTCATGCCAACCAACCTCATGTTAACACTAAATGGATGATTCTTCGCCTGTTTAAAGTGCTGAGCAAATAAGGCCAGCAGAATGCATCGAGCAAGCTGGATCATCACTCTCTAGTTCTTACTTTTTTTAAAGAAAGAAACAGGAATTCTAACGATAACTACAAAGAGTTGATTACCTTATCGAACCCATCAAGATCGTTGGTGTTGAGGATCTTTCTGTTCTCCATAAACGTTGTGTTTAACCAACTGAACAAAATAAGTTCGATTAGAGAGCTCCAAACATAGAAAAACACAAAGGAGAACATATATCACTAGGGAGACGGAATGTAACCAGTAGAAATCTCCTTGGCGATCATGGAAATGAACCTTGAAATCCCCAGACAACTCTGTCAGACCAGGCTCGCCTGGCAAAGCAAACACCATAATTCCTTTCTTTGGTGCACTGAACCAATAATCTTCAGGCTGTACAAAACAAGCATATATTAATAACTACTACTTTTTTCGGCAACAGTAAAACAACCAGTAACAGGAGGAAAAGTTAAATCCAAAAATTATTATGACCTACCGACAGATCCTTTGTTCTTGGATGCTTCTTAGTGGTAAATAGAATATCTGGAGAGCGAGAGATACAATAGTAAATACTTAAGCAATTAGGCCAACGTACAAGAATGCTGAAGAGATTATAACGCCATTTAAGGGCAAAATTCCATTCATTTCAACAGTAGATTTAAACAGAATTTCATTTCAAGAAAAGCCATCTTCCAAAGTCAACCACATATCAATAGCCAAAAGAAACATTTGATCATGAAATTATTTTACTATGTCCCAACAAGAATAACAATGATGTGATATTGTGCTGTTCATGAGGAAAAGACAGAAGTAAATGTATTTCGCTGCACACAGCTTACTTACGAAGTACTATGCGTGAAACATCAAATTTAGTTATCTTTAACAGAAAAAACATCCCAAGATATAAAGACTCCAAAGATCAGATATTTTGTATTACAATATCATTTTCCATCTTTACAACACGAATTGGTCATGCAGGAATAAAGATGGCACACGGGCCAGCACAGACCATTATGATCAGAGACTGTTATGGAGGGTCTGATCCAATAAGGACACCTGTGGAGACGAAATCCCCTAAGCATGCACCTGCAGAAAAGCTGATCTTTAGAATCTGTTGGAAAACTACAAAAGCAGTATCCAGGATCAGCAACATACCTTCGCCCAGGCTGGTTTTCTCCATTGAAGTATGTCAAAACACGTTCAAAGTACTTGACATATCTCTGGAAAGAAAATACAATGATATTATCAAACAGAATGAAAGATGTTGCGGACATTGACCAAAGTGTATCACTAATCTTAATTCAGAAAGGAACTCACAATCTGACTTGGCAAGATAAGCCCTTTTCCATCCACACATCTTTTCTGGTTGTAGTAGTCAATAGACTCCTCAGCGGTTGGGAAGAACTGAAGAGAATGTCCAAGAAATGAACGAAAAATATGAACCAGTGTATTCTACGCTAAAGATAACACTAGCTGTATGTCATCATCATGGCAACTTTTGGAGTCATACCTTCAAATATAGGAGAAGGCTAGAAATCATTAGCCCCGTTCTAGCCATCCCTGCCTTACAGTGTACAACCACTACATTCTCGATATCCTCCTTCAACCATCCATAGGCACTTTTACAGAAGGATGTTATAAGCTGAATGGGTGGACAATTGTGGTCATCAAATGGGAAACTTGCAACCTGAAAAGTTCACCCCAAAATAACTAACTGAGTATACCAGCATATCTTAGTTTATTCATATTTATGATTCATCCGCATTCTTTTACCCCATTTACCCTATCAACAAAAGAAACCAGCTGAAACACACCTTTCCTTCAAATAATGATGCATCGTATAGCCTTTCAGAACAAAGATTGTATACTTTGTACTTGTCCTGGAAAAGAAGACAACAAAAGTATGTGAAGCCTTCATAACCTATTAGTCACAGAAATAGTTATAGCTTTGACTAGCAAAGCCAACATATAACAAGTATATGACCAGATAAAAGGACAAATTTTACCAGAACTTGCGCTTTAGTCCCACTGAAAAGATGAGAATATAGATATTTCTCAGTATATGCTACTTCATAGATTTGTGATATTGCTGATTGATATGACTATGTTACCACCCCAAAGATCTTAGCAAATCAGTAATGCTCTCTAAATATCTTGTTTATTATGCCGAAGCATACTTTACTTCCTCTCTTAATGACAAGGAAGCCCAGATAAGGTGCACCTTAAGCCAATAAATTACTCCATCAACCTCATAGACCAGCTGAGACAACCATAAGCTCAAGTTGCTGGCCCAAAGAGGCATACTATACTTCATCTTGACATGCATTGAGAATCTTCATACAGCAAGCAGTGATCAAAGTACAGGAAGTATCGGTGTACTATTTGGATATTAATGCATATTTGTCGCGTACAGAGGAGTAATGGTAGCAATTGCTTGTGGCCAAAGAGTAAAAGTATACAGGATATAAACCCATTTAGGTCTCCAAGCACTAGTATAGGTCTGAAAAAATAAGAGGAAGCCAACTAATAAGCTGCCAAGCCCATCATCAGCACTCCACGACTGCAAATCTAGTATGCACACTCATGTCAAGATCAAGGACCTAGAATGCTTTTTTTTATGGCAAGTGGAACAAAAAGAAGAAAATAACACATTCCTTGCTAATAATATGCTAAAAAATTCTACTATGTCTATGTGCAACTAAAAGACCAATACATGATTAATTCAGACATGTTTAGACATAAACTCTCTTGACCTAGAACATCAGTAGACGATATATTACATCAAATTTCAATGATTGTTTCTGCACTGCAACCATATAAGTAATTCACTTTCAAAATCACTACTACTGGGGACCAATGTATTCGGCTATCCGTAATTGTGATTGCAACACATAGCTTAGCAGCTTCTCCTCTGATTGGTTCTACTACGAGCTTCACTGAGATGAATGATAAGTGAAGATATATCTAATGGTAAACAGACATCTAGAGAAATAATACTCCTTCA